CGAGCCCTAACAGCACCGAGCGGAGAGTGTCCAACAAAGCAGACATTGGGAGACGGTTTGCAGGAATGTGTATTGCAATCCTCACTCTGTACCTGCATGGACATACCAATGCGCCATTTGCATCTTTGACAGAGCATGAGCACGAAATGGCAAAATACCCACTATGGCCATAGCGTGGTAATCTCAAGAAGATGAACAGAATTGTTTCGCCATGGGATCTCCCCTTGCCAGTATCAAAATATGAGAATAGGTTTTACCCCTTTCCGGCAATAATACAGGAGGTGTTAAGATATTTAAACACCAAACTGAAACCTTTTGCAAGGAATAATCTACTGCATTAACCACATATGGTTGTGAACATGCAAACAAAAAAGCATGCTCTGGTAGTATGTGCGTTGTCTTTGAAACGGATTGGTCCACACCAGAGTCAGCTTTCTTGAGAGACTAGTCTCAAACACCACAAGTATCTGTGGTTAATGCAGACATGATTCCATGCAAAAGGTTTCTGTTAGGTGTTTTAACATCTTAACACCTGCTTTGTTGCCAGAAAGGCTAAAATCTATTCGCAAATAATTGTTTTGATTTCAATAACACGATGTTAGAGATATTATCGGGCAGTTACAAATGCAAATGTTTTAGACATACATTGTTTTACACGAATGCACCCAAATGAATGGTTTTCCGCTTTAAATTAAAAACAATAGGACAGTACTAAGCGTATAATAATCTGAAGGTTCGCATTTTACCATGTATTTATCGCAATGTACATTTGCCAAACTGCGCATTCTGTGCGGTTGCCATATACGCATTCGGAAATTTGTCGATATCTTTGCCCGTACTCTTAGAAACTCAGCTCTCCCTAGGAAGAAAAAAAAAGACTTTTGGTCCCAATGGGTAATCTCAGCTGATCAAAAACAAAGGTCATCTATCTATCATTCAAAGCTAAATGAAAGCAGCATCATCTCTCATCAGCGCACAACGGTCCTCTCCCGGGGCGTAGTAACGCCGCAGGACCGGAGACCATCCCGAGCCAGGCATCACCAACAGCGTCGACGTTCCCGTTCCCAGGGCCGCCCCCCCCCCCCCCGTCAACTCTGTTGGGAATTACCAGAGCTGCACCAACCGCTGGTCAAGTGGACATTAAAAAGACCCTTGTGAGATCATATATACCACATTTTTAAATGTCAACATGCTCCAAAACAAATAAAATCTGACAATTATGGAAAAACCGAACAAAATTAATCCAGCCACTTTGCTTATAGAGCCACTCACTCGCACGGTCACACAGGACTACCTGTCTGAATAGAAATGGTGTCAAAATGGTCCTCCTTACTAAGAGTCCTTTGGCAAGAGACATTTGATTGCTTTTGAAATACCAAAACGCACGCATTTGTGGTCGACTGCTCTGGGACGAGAATCTGGTTTCCCGATCTTCCGGCCCGCCTCGCCATGAGCGACTCGCGTCACTCAGGACGACGGGAGCCTGCATTCTCCGCGCGCAGGAGCCACAGCGGACTGTGTAAAAGTGCAGGGGCACCCCCGCCATTGCGATTCATCATTGCGCTTTTTCGATTCATCGGTGTTGCACGGACACCGATGAGCATTAATGCAGCCTTTAAAAAAAATACATCTTCCACGAAACTACAGCGGAGTGTTGATTAACAACACACATTAATCTCTTACAAACGCTTTCCAGATAAGAACCAATTATTATTCGATATTGGTCTAACCAAAAATGAGGCGACGGTTTAAAGAGCTCCTAAATATGGATGTTAAATTGACCCCCCCCCCCTGCCGAGTATGATAAATACATTTTCTGGCTTTACGTTCACCGCCAAAAAATGTATTTGTGCCCCGGAATGGATTTTTGACTCTCTGCTGCCTTGTAAATTGCCATCGTCGACGCATCTGCGCTCACAGCGCAAGCGTCGCCCCCCTCTCGGTGCCGCCATCGAGGGGTCCTCGTTGTCACCACGCACACGCTGGGACGCGAGCGCTAGGCCCCACGTGAGCGCGCGCGTGCTCATCAGTATGCACGAGCGGCGAGCGAGAGCCGGGCGGGCGAGAAGGAGGAGGGGGAGGGGGACGCGAGCCGGAGGAACGAAGGCACGCGCGGCACCCACAGCTCCCACCATCAAACGCAACAACACACACCGCTACGATGGCTTTTGTCAATAGTGTAAGAATTAATTGCATTTCGGCAGCCCTGATAGGCGAAGGGCCTGCCCTCGCACCGTGTCGGCCACGTGGCTTTCCCTGACCGTAACTTCAGCACGCCGCCAGTTGAAGCGAGTTTGTCGAAGCAGAGAACCGAGGAGTGGAACCAATATCACTCGCAACTAATGTTAGCCATGGCTGGGAATGGAACTCAGGTCTGCGGGTTCAAAGCACAGACTATGAATAGGTGCAGCACCAGCCACACCCCCCACCACTCCCCGAGTTCAATGTATGTCTCTTTAATATTTTGTGCTCACACGCTTCACTAGCTATAGACGAATTACTTCCGCAAGTAACGGGAGCCATTATTGCGCCATGCAATGAAGTGAAGTTACAGACTCTTACCCAATATCCTTCAATGGTCCATCGAACTCGAATCACTTGTGCAGCTGTGCGGGGACGACTGATTGGGTCACCGTGACCTCAAAAGTGCGCTCAACCAAATCCAGAGGAAACCCTGGAAAACCCCAAATTCTCTCTTGGCTGCACAGTCACTCGTGACACAGCTGACGTGAGCAAGTCCCAACCACGAGGCCCCGGCGCCCCTGGTTGTTTCGTTTAGGAGCCCAGGATCCCAGCTTCCGTAAAAGCGACATCGTTGCTCAGACGCGTGACGGAATTGGCCCCCCGAGCCATCGTGGTTGTCACGGTGGCTCGGAGATGTTAACTACCTAGCCTGGTATACAGGAGGTTGTGGGTTCAATCCCATCCCTGATGCCTGGTGTATATTTGGAGTTTGCATGTTCTCCCCGTGGTTGTATGGATGTTTCTCTGGGTCTTCCAGTGTTTCCCTCCACATTTCGAAACATGCGTTGAAGAGTATTTGGCTGCTATAAATTTCCACGTGATAGGCCACTTTGTTGAACTATCATTTGTGGCCAAATGTCGCTTCTCGAAAAAGAGCTACATAGTTCAGTGGGCCTTACCTGGTAAAATAAAAAATAGTTTAAATAATAATTCGAGTTGTATTTATCTGATGTGCGTATACCTCTCAGACTGGGTTTAATTGCCCCTAACATGCGCTCTCGAACGGTGTATGTGTGTGTGTGTGCGGACTTGAATGTATTTGTGTTCTTTTTGCGCGTTTGCCTACCTGTGTCTGTGTCGCTGTGTGTGGAGATGTTCGTCTCTGTGCCGATGCGTGTGTACGCACGCGTCCGAGGGAGCAGTGGGCCCCAAAGTTGGGCACTGGGCTACGATGTCCGCTCCTAAAATTTCAAATCTCCAGCAACAGACCGCAGCAGTTGACTGTGTCTTGGGCAGCTTATAGGGCAACTCCACCTTAAATGGGTATCTGTTGTGATGTGTGACCATCAGAACGTGGCAGACAAAGGCATCCAGGTGCGGTGCTGGAATACCGCACCACCATCTACCACCACCCTCTGCACCATAAATCGCTAACAAACAGCACTTACACCGACACTTTATAATAACACTGTAGGGGGATCTTTATCTGTGCGTGCGTGTGCACGTGTATAAATAGACGAATGTATGAATTTCCATAGCGGTAATGTAATCATGCCTCGCCGCTTGCCCCTGAGAGTTCTGTGCGCGAGGATTTGTGTTTGCGTTTCAATTACGGTCCCGTGCCCGGAGTGAGCGCCGCAAATCGCAAATTCTGCTAAAGCTGCCGACTCCCCGCTGCTGGCGTCTGCGGCAGCGCAGGCAATGCCGCAGAGCCGCGTTCGCAGGCAGACGCCCGGCTCGCAGACCGCTCCCATCGGAGAGAGAAGCCGCGTTCCTATACGGGACCCAAAGCCTTTTTTCAAGGAGGGGTACCTCTCTCTCTCTCAAATGACAGCTCTACGAATACAAATATCTACATATGCCCTAATTATTAGAAAATAATAGGTTAGTTTGCGAACGCGATTACATTTCCCTCAAGCCGACTGGTTCGAACAGATCACGTGACCTTTTATATTCCGCACTATTCTATACACGTAGCCATAGCGACAGTTTGTGCATGCGCAGTCGTTCCCTAGCAACCAAAAATATGGTGGAGGGGAATTGAAACGCGCTGCCGAGAGGCCGAATTAACTTAAATTGGTGCCCCTTCCTTTCCAACAGCGATGTTAAATGAAAACAACTCTCACATGCGCGTACACACAAATATAAACATCTCCTCATTAGCCTCATAAATTACAAGAGCAAGTGCTGTAAGCATGCACCTGTTACTGTGCACAGGCTTTTATGAAAAAACAACAACAGCTGCCATTCGCCACCGAGTGGCATTGATGTCACCACACAGCGCTTGTGGCTGCCTAGGTACACTTTAAGAGGCCATATGAAGTGTCCGAGGTAGACCCCGGTGTTGTGTGTTAACTGACTTTGATGACTGGGAGATGCAACACTTGTGCATTTCAATGCACCAACTTTTATGCATAAGTATGTATGTTGAACTTCTTTCGCACCGTACGTACCCAACCGTGATGATCGGAGGTACGGGGGAAGGACAACAAACTATAACACACGCAACATACTGTTGGGGCAAGCGCTGTTAGCGAGCACCTATGAAGGCTCATGAGGCACACGGAGGGGTGAGTGGCCAGCACCACGCCCGGCCACCTTTGTCTCCCGAACGGTGATGTTCACACATCGCATCAGGTACTCATTCGAGGCTGAGTCATCCGAGGAGAGGGCAAAGACAAGTTCTGACATCACTCGCCACTGAAGCTGGCCACGGGCACAGAATAGAACCATGGTCACGGGTTCGTAGCGCCGTGCGTCGATCACCGCACCCGCGTTCCCTGCTACCCACGCACGCGGCCGCGCTCGCGCCTTGCCTCGGGGTTGAGGTAGAGAAATACGATTGGATGACGGGGGTGGGCGTGGGCGTCCTCGTGCGTTCCTTCTCGTCGCCGCTCCGCTCCAGGCCCGGCACGGCCCCGGGCGGCCCCCCGACTCCTGGCACCCCGGCCGCGGAGCCGGTGGAAGCGGCGGCCGCCGCGGCAGCGGCCGCGGCGGCCGCAGCGGCGGCGGCGCGCACGGCGAGGGCCGCGGCGCCTCCTCCGACTGCCACGGAGGGCGGCCGGCCTGGCCCGATGCGGCCGTTACGCTTGAGGCGCTTGCGGCACAGCGCCACGAGCTCGGGCAGCTGCAGGTAGCTGGCGGCGGTGAGCAGCGCGGCCAGGCCCGGCTCGCTGCCACCCACGCCGGCGCCGCACGCCGACACGGCGGAGCCGCCGAGCCGGCCCGTGTAGATGTACTCGAGCACGGCGCGGAACACAGGCGGCGTGATCACGTCCGAGTCCAGGTTGATGAGGTTGTCGTGCACAACGAGCGACTTGAAGTAGAGGCTGCTGGCGGCGAGGACGGCCTTGTGGGCGCGGAACAGCGCGTTCTCCACCACCACCACGACATCGCACAGGAAGCCCTGGCTGCGCTGCTTGTTGAGCTGCGACAGCAGCTGCTTCGCGTGGCTCGGGACCTCCATCATTTTCGGCGGCGCCGTTGGTGGCGAGAAAATGGGACGGGTTTTCCTCTTTTGTTTTTGTTGTTGTTTTCTTTTGTTAAGCTTCGTCCTCTCTTCCTGCGTCGCTCCCTCCCCCTCTCCCTCGCTCCTCAGCAGCGACACACTCCGTCTAATTACACACACACACACGCGCACAGATTAAGGAACCTTAATGAACAGATTCTAGTTAATAGCACCGTCCCCCAACTGTCATGCCCGTGGTCCCCAACAACCTGGTAAGATTCACATGCACCGTCTCCCACGAGCAAGGAGACGCAGCGGCGTCTGGGGTGATGAAAAACTGACCAACAGGCTTCATCGATAGAGCACCTGCAGGGCACAGCACTAATCGAAGGGAACCAGTGGGGTAAATCTTGGCAGTGCCTGGGAACAGTGACTCCAACAAGAGAACCAACAACACTTCACGAGCACACTGATGAGGTAGCAGGAGACTGCCATTTGCACGTAGACAATAACCAAGGGGCATGAACCGGGCACTGACAAACGATGCATCAAATCGTGAACTAGAAAGGGACCCATTGAGTAGCCAATAGCACAGGCCTGCGGTCATAATAGGGCATCAATAGGCACAGACATTAATAGAGCATCCTTCTGATACCAAGAGGGCGGTGATAACGCACCAATAGAGAACCGATACGGCCCCATTACGTTATCAGTGGCACAAGTAGCGTCTCGCAGCGGCGCGTTAATACGGAGATGAGAGGGCATCAATAGGCAGCGATAAGGCGCGGCGGCGCGAGTGTCAGCGGGGGGGGGGGGGGGGCCGCAACGCAGCGAGAGGGCCGGCAGCACCGTGCCTGGGAACGCGCGATGGTTGGCAACTGCCGCTGCTCCCCCGCGCAGCCGCCGGCAGTGGTGGGTGGAGGCGCAGGCTCGCGGCACAACCCCCTTGACACGTTTGTCACAATTACCATTTCAGATTTTGAGAGTGTCCGAACGAAACCCGCATTTTCAACAGTTGCGCGAAAAAAATTTGAGACAAGCGAAATGCGGGCAAAACTATACGATTATGTCTACTCTATTTGTTTAGGGAGAAGAGACGGTTATGGGCAGTGGGAAACGAAGGTGCCTTAGCCGTGATCTTGAACAAGAACAGTGACTCTGGCAGCATAGACGACCGGCGAGATGGTATCGCATACTATGGCAGCAGCAGCGGGCTTTGTAATCAATAAGCTACTGTTCTCGGAACTGGAGCAGTGAACTCAAAAAGTCAGAAGACTGTGGTTTTGAGATGCAGAAGACTGCACTTCACAATTGCTTGCTCTCAGTGTGCGGCCAAAATGATCCGCTCCTGGTTTTGCAGATGGCCCGTGTCAGACTTTTCCAGCAACAGTTACCGAAAATCACACCGACAGTGCCGTCAAATCATTCAATTAACCTTGTGACGTGGCTGCCGTGAAACACCCGCGGGGGCCGTTAGGCTGCCACCTCTCATTTCAGCAGCCGGGCACCCGGTGTAGAGTTTCACCACAACGATGATTAAACAACAACAAAAATTTCTCTAAACAAATCGGCCGTGTAATTACGGCACGACATCTCGCACCAACCAACGCGGTAGTTCCCACACGCTGTCCCCCCACGTCCCCACCCCCCCACCCCACCACTGTTCAGCTTTTCACGTCTGCCAACCTTCTCCATACACGTGGAAGATTAATGCGCGTCGCCCGCTCATGTGGGCTGGCAGGAGGCCTGACGGCGAGGTCGGGAGGTCGAGGGAAGGGGGCGCTGCAACGGGCGTTTTGAGGCCCCTTGGCGGGGGAGCTGCAGGCGAAGCTCCTCCCCCCGAGAGCTCAGGACCTCGCTAACGCGGTCCAGAGCGTGACACGGCGGTGGCCTCGTTCCACCGCCAGCCAGCGAGCAAAAGGGAGCGAGACCCTCTCCGCTCACGAGCACCGCCGCGCGAGAGCCAGGGCTAGCGCCCGCAGGGCACGCAAGAAAACCCAAGATCCACCAGATAACCCATGCGCCAGCGGGGCAAGCCCTATTAGTGAACGCCGATTAAGGCGACCACGTGGTACGGTGGTGTGGTTAAGCCTCGGACACTGGCGAAACAAAGGCAGCCGGTTTGCAGGGTAGGGTGCTCTCACCGCAACACCCTGTGGGGGCCCAGGCGTGACTTCTGCTGTGGCTGTGGGGTCATTTCCCAGGGGGAAGCGTACGGGAAACGCTCCCAACGCCTTCACTGCAACACGGCGGGTTTTTTTTGTTATAAAAGTTCAACCGTGGTGCGGTCACAAAACTACCAACTTCTTTTCCCGACGTTGTCAAAGGTGTTCATACTGAGCCTAGTTTATGAGCTACACTTACATCATCAGCTGGGTAGATTTGCATGCAGAGCAGATGCGCGAGGCTGAGGAGGCATGTAAAGTGTTTGTAAAATGGGAAAAAATGCATTGAAGTTTTTTGTTTAAAGGTGCGGTAAAGGATTTTATTATTATTGTTTAACGTGCAGACGCCGGCGGGCTTTGGTAAAGCCCCAAGAAAATGATGGGGCGGTCACGTGAATGGAACTTTTGAGTAGCTGCTCAATCGGCTCGGCAGCAAGGGGTTTCTGTCACATCGCCATGTGCCAGCAGAGACAAACAAGCAACTTGAGTGGCTGAGCGAGTGTGTGGCCGAGCTGGTGACTACTGAGTGATTGACCAGTTGACTTGAGCGACTGGGTAGGCAACAGTACTGGCTCCTCCCTGCCACGGCCACCGCTTTGTCGACAGCGAGCCAAGTGCCCAACATCACGTAATGAGGTTTAATATCTCCCAGCAAACTGGACAACGAACAGGACAATCAAGTTAGGCAGGACCCTCCCGAAAAAGAGCCTTGAGGTTCATGCATATTTTAATTGGTAAATTAAGGACAATTATGTCCTTAAAAACACGTTCAGCAAAATGTAATCCTATTGGTTGAATGAATACTGTAAAAAGAAGTATATTTTTTGTGGTGTCATTTTGGGAACAAATATTAATACAGAACAGAAAAAAAGCGGTAGAGCAGGGGGAGAAATGATGCACTACGTGAATAGCTGAACAGCACGTCTTACGGTCTAAGTGGTGCATGGAACAGTGAGCGTGGCGCCAGCTATGGAGCGTTTGAGGGGCCAGTGCCACCTGGTACCATTTTTGTGGTTGCCAATCAGCGGCTTGCGCATGTGCAATGTGATGGCGCCTTCGGTCAAGGGAACATTGCCCACAGAACGGCGGTCAGTGGGGCAAAGTACAAAGGTCACGTCCTCACTTTAACCAATCAGCTGTCAGGAAATGGCAGACCGTTGCAAATTGAAATACACGTAAAAACCTAAATTGTTCACAATCCCTATTATCCACAAAAACTAGAATCCTTGTTTTTGTTCTCTCCCCCCTCCCAGATAACAAGAGTTGTACTCTTAGGTGTTTTCGGTAAAGTCACGTAGGTAAAAAGACTTAATTAAAATTAATAAAAGTAATAATAAAAATAAAATACTTTTATTCATTTAAATAAAAAATTTTACCTACGTGACTTTACCGGAAAAAAAACCTAAGAGTATGAATCCTTGCAGTCACGAAAGCTTCAAATCTAGAACAAGACTTGTGTTTATCTGTGGGTGACCATGCAGATATCTGGAACAATTTCTACGGATAAACGAATAAGAGAATCTGACAATAGCGCGCGCCACGACAGACCCCATCAGCGTCGCCAAGAGGTGTTTCAACAGCTTTCCTGCAGAGAGCTCACCCTGTGAAGCCAATCACTGTCTCCCCGTCCCCCTTCACGGTGGCAAGAGAAGCGTGGTCCTTGAGGAAGCATCCGCACCGGAGATGGCTGCGCCGCCCCCCCCCCCCCTATTTCTTATTCATGTTTTTTAATAACCACGGGCGCGGTTGCCGGGAGACAGGAAGGTTAGCGGGACACGGCGGTGGAGAGTGCCGTGTGGCTGCTGGCTTCGTCAATCGAGGAGAGGGCACGGAGGCACCGCACGGCACCGCAGCTCGCCCGACGCGGCGCTTCCAGGATTTGGGAGATTGTCCGTCTGCATGTAAATTATTTAAAGTGTAAATATTTCGAGTTAAATTTCAAGTTTTTTTTTATTTAGCACCAGATCCAGAAATATAATCCCAGCATCCCTCCCTCCATACGAAGCCTCTACCTCCACAAGCAAATATCAAAAAAATACACATCATCAACATCAGTCTCAGTAAAAAAAAACACACACAACCGGGGGCTAAAAAATCTTGCCACCAACTAAATCTAAAAAAGCATCGATCAATATTGTTTGGTAATCCACACTGAGCAGTGTGGTGAAGTATGGTCAAACAAACCCAAGTGCACGGACGAAATCGCAAGCAGGTGTGAGTAAAACTCTGACAATGCGCCGTACAGACGCCTGACCAAAACAGAGCGTGTCCAATCGCATGCCAGGCAGCCAATAAGGATTGTGGTTCAAATGCTGATTTGCAAATGCTGATTTGCCCACAACCAATGGGGGTTCGGGCACATGACGTGGCCTGTGACGCTTGGAAACGCCGCAAAGGTTCAACGCTTCCCATTACAGTGTTCAAATCCAGCCCAGGTCAAATGACCCAGAAGCCAGCGAATCAGAGCACAGACGACCCCCATGTGCTTGCCTGGGTCGGTCACGGTCTCTCAGGAGGCACAAAGGAGCGGCATGGGCCAATGGGCACGAGGTTTCTGCTGCGGTGGCACAAAGACGGTGTCATTAAATACCATTCCCCGAAATCATCGCAGTGTTCTAACATATACTCTGGAATCGCACTGCTCAAAACGCTTACGTGTCTTACAACGTCTTATTTTTCCAGAATGTATCGTGGTTTTTAATTATTTTCCATCGCCGCCTGCCCCATCAGAGGTGAATTCGCGGTCTCTGGGAGGGAAAACATGCAGGGGGGTTGTTCCCCAGCCCCAGAGAGGGCAAATTCATCATCTCGCCCTCACCCACACAATGAGCACTGTCTGCTCAAATAATTGTCTCTGCAGAAAGTATGTACATGCAAGGGGCAGCAGTGTGGCATACACAATGCTTTGGTAAAGCTTTGCAATATCCGAACCACAAACCCTTCCAATCTGCCACGTTAATAACATGCCCCGTCAATTAATTACGCTGGAGTCATTCTGAGC